TAGTTCCTGCACTGTAAAATGCAAGCATCGCTCAGGTGAGGCAGAGAAAATAATGAATGGTTCGAGCAATAGCGGCAGGATTTCAGTAGTTACAGGAAAACACGGCTTGTGCAATTGGCTGCATACTGTGGGTGACTCGGTGACTGTCGCCAAAAGTAGGTGTTTCTAGAGACAGCTCCGGGGGACAAGCTCCGATATGGGTAGGTGGAGCTGGGAGTTTTCTAATGATTGTTAGCACTTTGTCAGACCTCAGATGTGAAGTATCATTTTTTACTAGAGCCGTTTCCTACCATCTTGAATAGTGAAAAACTCACAAGGAATTCAGGTGAGATTTTAGCCACATCTAAACCAGGCAACAGGCCCCTTCCAGCTCTTGATCTGAGCTAGAACCAAACCCGTAAGGATGGACCGAAGGCTTTGATTCCTTAGCGTCCCCCGCCCCGATCCCTGACATTCAAAGGGGCCTGGATTCAGCATTCTGGATTGGGCCTTTCTCTCTGTTACTGACCTCCTAGTGAATCAGGATCGCATCCCCTGCCCTCAGACTCACTGCCATGAATCTGACCCATTGTCTCTGGGCCCCTCGGTGGATCCAGTGATTCTGGTACCTCCAGCCTGGGTGCTGACAGGCTTTTAACATAAGGAGATTCAACTTCAACGTTGCTGGTTGTTTTCTCCATGGAAAGCCGGAACCAGAATTTGCATCACAGTCCAGTGGTCTGGCCCAAGACATGGAGGACGAGCAATTGCTTCATCTTCCCTAACTGGCTGTCTTGCGTCGTCCTGAGGCTGGTCGTTCTGCACTGAAATTCCCAGAGGCCAGATGATGGGGATGTCCAAGGGCTGGGGAGAGAGAGCACAAAGGAGCCTTTTCCCCCATAGAGCAGCCACAGTCCTGCGCCCTGAGCACACAGTCTAGGGCAGCGCTAGCACCACTAGGCATTGCAAGGGGGGGAGCAGGGTTACAATTCCCCTCCATACTAGCTGAGCGAGAGGGGCAGGCATGAGCTCTGCCTGCAGAGGGCGGATGCCCTGGGGACTGGTGCCATGACAGTGCCCCCGAATGCCAGGAGACAGTCCTGAAATGACGGATTAGAAACGAGAGGCCAAAACTGGGATGGCAGCAAGGTCGGCCTAATGCAGAAATAAGGTTGGCCTCAGACCACGCGGGTTCCTAATCCTCAGGCCCTGCGCCTGCTTTCCCCTGCCTGCAGCGGTGACAGTCCTGCCTACGCGGCCGGGAAGGCAAAGTGTTCGCCGTCTCGGGGAAATGAGAAAACCAAATGAAGTCAAGTTTGCTACCAGCAAAGGGGAAGTGTGACTTGGCATCGCGAGCACCGTGTTTAACATGCCGGCGAGGGGTTTAGAATTGAAGTGCTTGCACACAATTTAAAAATAGACAGTTTATTAATCTAAACGGCAAGTGTATGTAGAAGAGGCCTCGAGATTGACATCTTTGGGATTAGTTTAGCCCTGCGTTTTTCCAGAGGTCATCGCCATGGTGCTCAGGAGGGCTGTGGAATAAATGGGGCCGGCGTGCTTCCCGGGACCGCACGCTAAAAACTAATACATAACGTTTAATTTACTGTCTCCAGAGCTAGCCCGACCATTTTTCACATAATCATATTGGATTAGAGCTACCGGCGGCTGTGGGCGGAGTGGGGGGCGGAAGGATTGGTCTGCTGGGGCAGGGGAGGCAGGGGGGGGCGGTGTATTTTTCTCGCCTGGAGGAGGACGTGTTTAACCCCCCCAGCACCAGGACGGTCAGCTTATTTCAGGAGGGACAGGGTGTTCCACTGCAACGGGAGGCTCCCTTGCTTCCGAATCGCTGGGTTGACTCACACTCGGAGCTCTCAGAGGCAGGCCGAGACCCCAGCCCTTCATTTTAAAGCACCATTTGCAGTCTCAGGCCTTTCAAATTCCTCCTTGTCCCCTTTTGGGGGGGGGATGGGGTTCCTTTTTTTTTCTAACAGGAACTCAGTGTTTTTCAACAGAATTCCCCCTGCAGCTCCTGAGAAATATTAAAGAGCTGCTGCAGAAATAATTAACCTCGGCACGAAGAAGGAGAAAGGGAAATCCGGCCTTATTCAGCTACGTTAGCAGCCCAGGACAAGGCAATGCATTGTGGCAAACACGAGCCTAGAGACCCTCCATATGCCAAGCCTGCCCCGCTTTCCCCAGTCACAGGATCACCTGAAATGAACAAACATCCCTCATTCAGGGCAGCCATATCCACGCAGACTCCCAATAGAATTAAGGTTACATCAGGGCTTTCCATTAAACCCTGCTTGGGTCAGGGTGATTCCCTGCTCCCTGATGAACAAGGGGTTAACTCCAGCTCAGCTTCCCTCTCCCCTGGCAAGGTGCTCAGGGAAGGGCTATGTGAGAATCCCCCTAGGTTGACCACTCAGGCTATGTCTACACTACACCCAGGCTCTGACTCGGGTTTGAGCCCAAGCCCCCCTTCCATCCACACCCAAATCAGTCTGACTCCGGTCAGCGAGCACCCAGGACCCAGGTCCTAAAAGACCCTTCTAAGGGAGTGGGTCAGAGCCCAGTCCAAGCCCTGTCATTTTTCAGTGTGGATGCAGCTCAAGTGAGAAGTTCTGCATCGTGCAGTGTGGACGTATTAGCACGGCTGTGAGAACTGGATCCAGCAATTATAAACCCAATTGATAATGCAGTGTGGACACTCAGACATGGGCTTGGAAACACTGAGTCCACAGGCCCAGGTCCCCCAGACCCAGGCTTATAATGCAGTGTAGACATGCCCCAAACGAGATCAGGGCCCCGTGGGGCCCTTGAGGATCACATCTTGCCAACTGGCCATCTTTTTCTGCGAGTCATTTTACATGCTGTTCCCAGCTGCTCATACCTTTCCGAAAAAGTCACATTTTGGGTTCAATTTTTTCCATGTTTAATGTCAGCCCAAAGGCAAATGTTTCGGGAAAGTTCTCCTCCCTCTAAGGAATTGGGTCTTTTAACAGTTGGCCTGGACATTTCAGATGATATTCTTCTATCCCTTTGCAGACTTCCCTGCCTCTGAGCAATCATTTCTTATTGTTGCATCCTACTGGGTGTTCCTCAGAAACAAACCCTTGGCGAGCTGGGTTTTCAGTGGATATTGTTTAAGATTGCTTGCTTTACTATGTCTCTTATGCAGAAGTTCAGGCTGGGTCTACACTAGAAATGCTACAGCGGAACAGCCGTGGCTGCACTGCTGCAGGCCCGTAGTGGAGACACTTACTACAGCGATAGATGGGGTTCTCCTATAACTGTAGTAAATCCACCGCCCCGAGAGTCAGTAGCTATGTTGACAGAAGAATTCTTCCATCACCCTAGAACTGTCTACGCTGGGGCTTACGTCAACTAATCTTCGTCTCTCAGAGGGATGAATTTTTCACACCCCTGAGCAACGTAGTTGGGTCAACGTCACTTTCTAGTGTTGACCAACCCTTAGCTAATTTGTATTTTTCATAGACTTTTTCCTCAAACTCTCCTACTACTAAAGTTAAATTATTACTGGATGTAAGTCCTTTAAGTATTGTCCCCCCAGTCCTGTGATTTCCCATAAGCGTTGGGTGCACTGAATTTTATACTTCCCCACTGTTGATTTGAAGGCTATCAATATATTTCTTAAGTCACAATAAAAATAATTTTCTGATTTTTTCCATATCCTTGTGAAAAAAATCTGTGTTTTTCCAGATGCTATGTATTAAAATGTATTCAAGAGTAATAGTAAATTACAATATAATGTGTATTAATGAAGCATCTTTGTTAGTGATGTGTCGTTATTGAGACATTTCGTGTAATTTAAGTGGACGCTAACACACAATGATTTTTATTGTTGCTGTGCATGGTTATGCTTTCATCTGTAGTATCCTGTTTGGGGACGTTTTCTGGTGTGGGTTTTGGGTTTCATGCATTCTGTGTCTATTCAGTGCTACAAAATGCTACAACCATGTTTTTTACCACCTTAGATAAACTACCTGATCATCTATTCTGATCCTAAAATTAAAGACTTTCTCCCAGTGCACTAGGGGGCAGAGTTAAGGTTGCACTTGCTGACTTAACTCTCACATTTGACCGTGTCCACCTTCACGTTACATGAATGCATGTGGATGTGTTTTCTCTGTAAACAGGTCATCGAATAGGGAGGCTATGAGACAGGACCCCAAGTTAGGATGGTGCATATCATTCTAGGCTATCCTTTTCCCTTTTCAGACTCCTTCCCTCTCCTCCCACGCAGCGCCTTGCTGTGCCACTTACATCTTCGCACGCTCACTAGGAGGTAGTGGGAAAGCAATGGGCACCTACCTGCCCATTGCTGCCCCTGCTGGAGAGCTCGAGCATTACCTCTGCAGCACTGTCAGCCACATGCCCGTCCCACATGGAAGGCCGTGAACACTGGAATCAGCGCAGCTCCATGAAAAGGAGGGTGTGGAGAGGTCGGGCAAGGGGTCATAGGGCCCAGCTGCACCGCAGCCTCTGCAGCAGGCCCACAAAGAGGGGATTTGAGGGCAGGATGGGTGAAGGTCACAGCGTAACCCAATGACATTGCACCACCGTTCTCGTCCTACATGTAGGGTCTGCATGCAGGTCATGCATGCCCTGATGCTGCAGTGATGGTCGCCGAAGGGCTGCGAAGATGTTCTGCTCCTTGGCCCCAGGATGGGGAGGAGGATCCCAGCCCTCCCCAGGGCAGAGTAGCTCCTGTGTGAACGGGCTGTGTACAGGGACTGGGATTCGGCTGTTGCTGCTCTCTCAGACCCAGCCCTTCCGTGAGGCGGGATGGCATGTGCTCTCCCACACCCGAGAGGCCAAAGCATCGCGCTGTCAGCCGGTGCTAACATGCCCCCTCTGGGCCTGTTACAGTATTTATTGGCCAGAGACAATACATTCCTGCTGGGAATGGGAAAGACCTTGACACTGCCTGTGATGTATCATTGCTCTGCCTTGCTCACAGTGTAAATTTCTCCTTTCCTCTCTTTCTCTTGCAGTCAATTTTGTTGTCAGCCTCAATCAAGCGGGAAGGAGACTCTCGGACAGCATCGCCTCACTCCTCAGATGATATCCATCACTCAGACAGATACCAGGTGAGAGAGCAGCCAGGAAACAGCCAGGCAGCGCAGTCCGCTGGTCTTAGCACAGGACTAGGCGCCAAGAACTCCTAAGAGCTACTCCCAGGTCCCTCCGTGCCCTTGGCCTAGTTCCTTAACTTCCCTGCCCCTGTTTCTCTGTGTGTAAAATGGGGATATTAATACTTCCCTCCCTCACTGAAGAGCTGTGAGGCGTAACACATTAAGGTGTGCATTGCACTTTGAGATCCTTCGATAGAAAGGGCGGTAGACATGCAAATTATTAGAAAAATTAAGTCATCTAAGTAATATTATTTATTATTATTAGCAAAGCGCCAGTCCTCTGGGATGCCCCCAAAGCATGATTACGCACCCTAGAACTGTCTGGGACTTCGGTTAGTGCAATACAGTGCAAGTTAAGAGACATGTTGTACCCTCGGTTGTGTGTTTCATTGGTGTGGACTGAGGGTAGTTTGTGGCCTCTCTGCCTAGTATATAGCCAGGCCTGAATCATGCACATATGACTCAAATGTATAGCCATATACGCATGTTAGAGTCAAGGAAAATGTTCCTTCTGCCTCCCCGATTTACAATTTCCCTGCAAAATGACACTAATCAAAGGCTCAAGAGAGGTAACATTCAGCCATGTATCAATGGTCTGTTTCAGATCCAGTAACTCACACCCCGTCAGGGCTCTAGGAATGGGAGCTCTACCTCATTAGGAAGCGGAGAATTCCAGCACTCTAATTAGATAAACAGCACCTGCTTCTTGCTGTGGAAGGTCCAGAGGAATCTGACTTTAACATTACCACGTTGCATGGGAAAAATCTAGCTTAGCTTATTTGTAGTGGTTTCTAAAATCGTATTTGTCATACCTTCTCTCTCCCTCTCAGCCCTGTACGGTTGGGCTCACGGCTTGCAAGGATCCTGTATGTGAAGAGATACAAAAATTAGTTCCAATAACATTTTTTAAAACTTTCTAAATCATTTTAAAGAGATTTCTCTGTGAGAGCCGCAACTTGGCACACACAGAACACATGCCAGTGTGGAGTGGTGCAAACAACTCAGTGACACTGGTCTGGGCTGACCTGCAGAACTCACCTCCGGCTTCTGAGTCATAGGATAGTTATTTCTTGAGCATCCAGAAACGTCTTTGTGCACATCACAGACATGCAAGGATAGACGCCCTGCTCGCAGGAGTAGATGGCCTTGGTTTGATATTACGCAACAAGTAAATGTCAAGAGTGATGGGGGCGGGCAGGAGAGAGGAAGGACAAGGGATGGTGACAATACGATCATGAGGTTACTCCTGCAAATGGATCCGTGTGGGCAGATCCCCACTGAATGAAGCATCATGCAGGAATCTGTCTTAGGATCAGGGCCCAAGGCATGCACACATCATGACTGTGCAAATTATTATTATTTATCATTTAATATTCATTGGCTACCATTCTGCCCGTCACTTCTTGAAGGCCCATCTCAAACCCAGACCAACATACCTTGCATCCCGCCCAATGCAGTCACATATTCCGTATCTATTATCAAACGTGAGCCTGACGCCCCATCGCCCTGACTCACGTACACCAGTGCAAAGGGAGTGTCAGACAATTCCATTCTGATTTAGCAGAACTTTTTACCCCCTTTGCTGGGTGAAAGCAACGGTGCATGGAGCCGTGCAGCCAAGAAGTAGGCCCTGGGTATGAACGAGAAACCAAAATATGCTGCCCTCTCTCCTGTCACAATACTTCTTTCTATTAAAATAAATAGTGAACTTTCAAACAGAGCTTGGATGAAATTTTCTCAGTGGTCCTTTTTGTGATATATAAACTTGGTCCTGGGGGATGTGGAGCACCCTACGCTCTCAGCGTCTCAGAAGTTTTAGGCTCTATGAAATTTGTCAAGATAATTTTTTGTTCTCCCGTCCGTCAGTACAAGGGTTCGCATTGTACCCCTCCTCCATGTGCTGAGTCTAGCTTGCCTGCCACATATGAAGTTTGTGAGTGTGTTTTATGAGGGGTTGCAGCCCCTTAATGCAAATGCATAATGGGAATTATAACTGCGCTGCAGGGAGAAAAGACCTCGGGGCCTGATTTTCATTTGCACTGCAGCATGCCACTCTGGCAGCGTCAAGGGACCTTCCAGTGGATGCCAGAGCGGTGTCAATCCTTTGTGTAAATGAGAATTTGGCCCCTCTGCATTAACAAGTAAATGCGCAGGAGTCCAAGAATGGTGAAGCCTGATCTACCGGCCCTTGTGCAGAAAAATCTCCCAGTGACTTGAAGGGCTGCAGAACTGAGCTCTTCATGTGCGGCTGTGTGCTGTGATGATACGTGTTTCTTAGAGCTGCAGTGCTAGTAATTTTGCATTGCAAGTTCCTTGCGTTATTTACGATGTAATAGAGAATATACGATGTATTAGTAAAATGCTGGAGCACAGCCTTCTGCTCTATGGATTTTCAGAGGTGAATTCCTAAGGTTTGGCCTTAATAACCCTCTGATCCTTTTGACAAGCAAATTTTTAGTGGAGATGGAGATTTGGGAACAGGAAGGTTAAAGAAATATTGGGGGGAAGGTTGAGCTGATTACTTCCATGGAGGACCCAGTTCTTCCAGATAGAATCTGAAGGAAGCAAATGCAGTTCCCATGAGAGTCCGTGGATCAAGTTTAGCCGGGCTACAATGGTAAGGTGCAATCCACAGCAGGTGTAAGCAGATCAGAAAACAGGAGTAAGCGGCAAGGTGGTGTAACTTGAACCAGTTTGGCATTCAGTGGGTGTGAAGAATGAGCGTGACTTACACACTGAACGGGAGTGCAGCTGGTAAAGCAACTAACATGAGAGTGATAAAGAGGTTCAAACCGTGCCCCCTTCTTCCTCCCCTCAGCCACACAGGGCCAAATTCAGCATTAGCGTAAACAGGCACATCTATTGATTTGAATGTCAGTTGCACCCTCTTTTGCCACAAGCTGAATTTGGTCCCCACTGAATGGCCAGTCAGTGCAGGTTGCCTTGCTTTCCTTCTTACATCCATTTGCCAAGCAATTAATACCCAGTGTGTAACTTGCATCATCTTTGTGACACCACTGAATTAGGGCCCTGGTGTTGTCTGAGACCTTCCTTCGTGCTCCTTGATACAGCCATAGCCTCAGCCTACAGTCACTGAGCTGCTGGCCTTTGGCAGATAGAACATGTCAGGATCCTACCTGGCGCATAGATGAGAAGCCTACCTTAGGAGTAACCATAAGTATCCTCTCATTCTGCCTGGAGAGAGAGACGTTACCATAGACGAGAGATGGGCCACTGAGGCAGTGGTTGGATCTGAAGCTGGTTTAGGGAGGCTGGGTTCGAAGGTTCAGGTTCATGGTACTGAAAACTCATAGGGTTTTGGCTCCAAATGGTGGAAATCTCATGAGATCTTTCAGACGCTAAGCTCCTTGGGGCAGGAGCAATCTCCTCTTGTGTTTCATGCAGTGCTGAGAACGTCAGCGATCAGCAAATGATCCTAATCATCAGATGACTGCGGACAATTTCTGCCATGCCAATCTTGTGGGATCAGCTATTCTCTTGTGAGATTTCAGCAGCATCTGACCTGGAAAATGGGCCCAGAACCAAATCCAAACCTGAATCACCCTGGAAAGCTAAAGGGTTTGGATTTAAGATTAAGGTTTGGCCCATAACTATTAAAAATATCCTTCCTCTGAGCTGATGCCTGTAGACCTGGCCCCTGCCAAAATGAACCCCCCACCCCAGCCAAACCAAGACAGGAAAATAGACTAACTCTGAATGCAGTTCATTGGAACTTGAACTAAAAGGGAACAGGTTTGCCTCAAAGAAAGTTGTTGATTCTAGGATTGCATATCTGGGAAAGGCTTTACCTTGGGGAGATTATGCATGGAGAACCCAAGGATAAACAGTCCTCAGGAAATTCACTCTCAGCTCCTCTCACACATACACTCCCAGACACACCACCCTGCCTTTCATGCACTCTCCTCTGTTGAGTGAGGCCTTGTCTACACTGCCACTTTAAAAAAACACACCCTTGCGCACTGCAAGTTTCAGCGCTGTAAAGTGGCAGTGTAGGCAGTGCACCAGCGCTGGGAGCGCTTTAACGTTGCTAGTGAAGACATGCCCGGGGAGAGCAGCTGCAAAGGCGCTAGTGGCTACGGAGTGGATTTGGCCCCAAACACTGCCCAGCACAGAATCCCCCTGTGCCAAGCCCATTGATTGGAGCTTGGTGCAGGACCTTTGGCTTGACCCTGATGTTGCAAGCTGGTATAGTACAGGATGTGGCCATACAGTGATGTGAGGTCTTTCTAGATAGAATGCTTCTGTGAACAAGTGGCTCTCTGGGTGTTTTCTGGAGGAGGGGAGGGCGGCAAACACAAGCCAGGAGGCTTTTCCGAGCACAGCAGTTGGGTAGGGAGAAGGTGTGAAAGATGGTGCAAAGCTGGGAGTGAATGAAGGAGATAAAGGGAGCAGTCAGATGAGAAGCATGGGCAGATGAAGGAAGAAGCTTCGTGTTGCTGCCCCTGAGAGGGAAGGTTCATGCATGACTTGAGATGATGATCGCGGCTCCAAATCTCTTCCCAGCTGTCTCATTCCTTCCACTGTCACAGGCATTTCAGCCCTGTTCATTTGCTTTGGGCCCAATCCAATTCCCTTTTTGCACTCAAATCCCCCTACCACTGAATTCAACGGGAGTTTTGCCTGCATAGCGAGTAGGTATCAGCCCGTATCAGTTTCCTTGCTAGTATCTATCTACCAGCATTGCCAAGGGAGAATAACGAAAAGAAAAAAAACCCTCTAGAGTGAAACACTCCTCTTGTCTTAAGGATAACATGTCAGGCGCCTTCTCTGGGGGGCGAGAACACCCTGAATGGGTTAGGTAAGCCTGCTGTGGAATATTTGTGGCTGAATAATATGTGAAATAAGTAAAAATGCGTGGCTGAAATCCTTGTCCAGCAAAGCCTCACCTCTCTCTGCTATTTGAACCGCAAGCGTGAGCGTCTACCCAGAAACAGGCTGTAGCTTAATTCAATAAAGATGTAGAAACAAGAATCAGCAACTCTGATTTGGTAACTGAGTGTGCTGTGAAAACATGGCCACTGCCTTGCAAATCCCAGAGAAAAGCTGCAGCAAGCTTTAGCGGTTAGCACCAGGCAAGATTTAAGCCAAGTTGCTAACTCCCCCTAAGCATTTATGTGGCAAAAATATAAAAAAAATTACCTAGAAAAATGAAAGACAGAAATGTAGCATAAAGTAGGCACAAAATGGAGGTTTGGTTTAAACAAACAAACAAAAGGCAGTTGTTTTTAGAAAAGCTAATATGACTGTTTTTGTGAAGTTAAAGGATTGGGGTAGGCAGCAGATTTTGTTTAGGTTGACGCCTTCCACAGCTTCATTGGTAACCCACATATTGCAGCCTTTGGCCAGTCTACCAGAGCCGCCAGGTGAAACTGACTAGAAGGAGGAAGGAAACTGAGGAGTCAGTTTTGAGTGTCCAAGTTGAGCACAATGCAAAAAAGAAAAGGGAAAAAAAGCAGAAAATGAAATCAGATGATTGCAGTTGTTTGGGTTTTAGTAATCTGAGGTGTTGTTAGCAACTCAGGGAAAGAAATATTGCTTTCAAATAGGATTTTTAATCTGTGTCTCTTATGTCTAACCCTGTGCATTTCAATAGGGGGTAGTTACATGTCTGTATATCTGCCTTGACAGATGGATGGAAATGTGCCAGTTAATGTTTTTGTTGGCATCTCTCTCACACACAAACGAGCTAGGGGCCTGATCCTGTTCATCACTGAGGCCCAACACTTCCAAGATATTAGGCTCCTGACGTCCATTGATTTCAATGGAAGTTAGGAATCTAACTACCTTTGAGGGTCTGGGCCGCAGTGACCCCAGATCCCGTTGAGATCAGTGATCGTTTGAGAATGCTTAACACATGGTGCTCAGCACTTCACGGGTCCAGGTCCTAATATACTAACCCAGGGATTTGGAGAGTAAAGCCCCAAACAGAGCAAAATGGGCTGGCATCTGAGTGGGGTGCATCTGCATTAAAAACTCTAAAAAGCCAAACTCCCTCTGCCTTCATATGAGCGGCTTTGATAGTCTAACAGCCCCTTTGATGTTCCAACAGCCACAACTACCAATATTGCTTTGATGGCCTCTGACAAAGAGATCAAGGAATCCTGTATTATTATTGCAGAGCCTCGTTTCCACTTTCCTCTCTCCAGCTCCATCGGTCCAACCTGTCTAGTTTTTATAGGCCATGGTCTTCTCTCTTCCTACTCAAGGATAACACATAAACCCTCCTGGCAGATGTGTGTTTGAATGATAGAGTGTGAAGGAATTCCCTTTGGTGCCCGCTAAACTCCAAGTTGTGTTAGAGGTTTCTATACACAGAAGGACAAATATTAGCTACTTGTGATGCTCTGGGTTCTGGCGTTAGTCGCTAAGAGAGATTCCACCGACGACCTGTGTGCATCGGATAATATGGATAAAGCTTCTAACAAGACACCAATAAAACACACCCGCAGGAGGCTTACTGTACTAGAATGAATCTGGCAGCTGAGGCTTTGCTTGAAGCAAGAATTACCCTTTTTCAAAAACCCAATAATATGCATTTTACAACTGTTTTACCTCCCAAACCAGTGTCTTCCAATCTATGCACTATAGAGAATTTCATTCACTTTGCAGTTTGTGGTGGGTGCAGCCACACTCAAGAGACATTCTTATGTCATTTGTTGGTTATCTCATTAATCAGAACAGAACAAGTAAGGTGGCCATTGCTTAGGATGGTTGGTGGCTGCCATAGAGGGTAGAAATCTGAAAGGGGTTTGAAAAAACTCCTCCCACACAAATCTAGGCTGATCCCACTTCTGTGTCTCTGTTACACCGCCCCAACCCAATTGACTTCAGTGAGATAGCATGGGCGTAAATGCTAATGGAATTGGAATTCAGGGTGTGTTCACCTCTCTTACCTGTCTGTACTGGGGTTACTGGCATAAAACTGCTCTACATACAAACATGAAAATAAACTTCAGTTGAACGCCAAATGTTTCCTTTTATTTTTTCCCCTTCCTATTTGTGAGTAAGGGAGGAAAGATATACAAAAGGCCAATTATTTCAGGACTCTTTAGACACTCTGCAGTGTATTAACCTGCCATCTTATCCTGTATCCCAGCTCCAGCTTACTGTATAGCGTATTTAAAAATGCTACAAAACGCTGCTACTCTCCCACTGTTACAGTGGGTGCATTGGGAACACAGTGCGGGAGATTCCATTATATTCCAGTAATTCAAAAAAACTGGGTTTTAGGAGAACATTTGGAGGGTCTTAACGATTTAAAAGGGGTTTTCTTGCATTGGTTAACCTGTTTTTTTTCAGCATCCCTTCAGCAATTTAGGTCTTGATCCTGCAAACACTTTCACTTTACTTAACTTTAAGCATACAAGTCTTCCTACTGACTTTAACAGGAGTACTCCTGTGAGTAAAGTTAATTATGTATAGAAGTGTTTTCAGGATCAGGGCCGTACACAGCGGACTAGAGAACACCTGTTTGCCTGAGTCTTTTCTGCAACCCTTAATTGTGACTTCAAAGCAAGGAAACAGAATAATAACCATTTGATTAATGGCAAAGGACTTAGTTGGTAAAACCGTTTGTCGCGCCCTGGAATTATTCGGCTGGAGTCGAGCCTACGGGCCGGCCGACTGGAATCCACGTTGTGTGTGCGGGTTTCGCTGGACTAGGGCTCTAGGCGTTGCTGTCTGTGGGTTTCCGCACACATACACGTTATGGGCAGTATGACTATATTTAATAACACGCAGGGGCACTGCTCCCTGCTGGGGCCGGCTGTGGCGATGGAGCATCACTGTGGGTGTCTAGGGCATGTGCCGTTGTACTGAGCGTTCCCGCGAGGCCCCAGCTCACAGAGTCAGGCCGTGCGAGGGGAAGTTGAGCGT